ATTATTTTAATAATCGATTAGTCGTCGATTAATCGATTAATCATGGCAGCCCTAATGGAGAGTAGTGATGTCATTTAATGGGACATTAGCGATTTTACTGCAAAGACTGATAATATGGTGTTTTTTGTTTTTCTGTGTCAAAAGCCCATACCAGCAAATAAAAGAAAACGTAAGAACAGATTCAATAAAACAGCAATAAAACATTCCCATAAAACTACTGTCCATGTTAAAATTCCTTAATTTACGATAAAAGTACATACGTTGGTGGGCTTTGTTGCATACAGTGTTCACATGTTTGTCAAAAGAGAGTTTGTTGTCAATTACAGTACCRAGATATTTATATTCCTCCACAACGTCAACTTGTTGGTCATTAATGTACACAGGAGAGATGGCTTTTTTGTTTTCCCTGAAGTCAATAATCATTTCTTTGGTTTTGTTGACGTTTATGTCTAGAAAGGATGACTTACACCAGTTAATAAAATGTGACACCACTGGGCCATGATCAGGGCCGTCTGACTTTAAAAGAGACACAATGACGGAATCGTCAGCAAACTMTAAAATATGCCYTCCTGCGAACTGGCTCTGACACGTGTTAGTGTATAAAACAAATAAAAGGGGGGACAGAACACAACCCTGTGGAGAACCAGTGGAAGAGAGCAACGCATCAGATAAAACATCATTGACTCTGACATGTTGAGATCTTGTAGTTAATCCATTAGCCAACATATGAGACCTGATTCAATTTTATGTATACTTTTTAACCTGTCTGCTAGAATATGTGGCTGTATGCAGTTAAAAGCAGAAGAAAAATCAATAAAAACAAGACGTGCGAAAGTATAAGTTCAGTAAAGTGCATACAGCGTCATCCACCCCTCTGCAGGGCCTGCAGGCAAACTGCAGTGGGTCCAAGCTGGTTTTAACAGTAGTTAAGAGGGCTGTTTTAATTACTTTCTCAAGTGWCTTCATAACTAAGGATATGTAGTGAGTACACACTGAACACACACTGAACACACACTGAGCACACACTAAAATACTGAACAAACCTGGAACGGTTCTACGTGGGGCGACAACGTTTGCTCACATTTTGAAAGTTTATCTTTTTGGTTTTTCTGCATATTTTCAGCCCTGAACCAGAACATTTTTAGAGGAATGTTGTTTTGTTAACCCACTCAACTCTGACCTGAAATATTCTGGAACAACCTGGGGCCTCATTTATAAAGGATTGTGTGGAAACCATACTAAAAGTGAACGTACGGCCAAATGGTGAAAACGGCATACTCCAAAAAAAACCTTGAGATTTATAAAACAGTGTATACGCATGTTTCTGCACCTTTCATTTATAGATCACAGCGTCCTCTCATAATTTGCGCACAAGTTCCCGCCTCAGGTTCTACCCTCTATACGCCCACATTCAACCATAAACTCTAATTCCTCACTTCACCATCTGTTTCGCAGCTTCCCGTCTCCAAAATGAGCGTACGCATGGGTCAGAGCTGGCTGAGGGACCGCACATTTGAGTTTTATAAATCAAAACCTTGGTGTGAAAAGTGGCATACGAAAGTTTCTGGGCTTGTTTTGTGCGTACACAAGTTTTATAAGTCCCACCCCAGATGATTCAGCAATTACCGTATTTTTCGGACTATAAGCCGCACCAGACTATAAGCCGCACCCACAACATAAAAAAACAGTACACCCAAATTTACCATCAAAAAAGTGAATTCAACTTCAAAACAMAAAAAGCAAACRTTTAGGAATTAAAGTTSGGAGGAATACGGTTCATTTAACTGACCTTATTTTGGTAGTTTTCTTTAACAGTTTCTGGTCCAACAAAACGTCTCATTCATCGTCCTCCGGCGCACTGAAACCATCGAAGTCCTCCTCTTCAGTGTCTGAGTTGAACAAGCTGAGAAAAGCTGCGTCACACAGCGGTATCTGTTCAGTGCTGCTTTCTGTGTTGCTGTCCTCCCGGGGTAATGCTGGCTCTGAAGCTGTGGTGGGAAAGCCCTCCCGCTCCAGCATACGTCACTGCATGGGATTCCTTCCCCGGGGAGTGCAGTGAGGAAAAAAAAAAGTCTGCGGCTCTTCACTCGACGTTTATCCACAAACTGGTCCTGGATTAAGCTCCAAAGTTTTTATCAGTCAGATTCCACCGTGAAAAATGTCTGTTTTATCCCCTTTTATGAGTTTTTGGCCATTGACTATCTTTAAATCGCTGCTTCCTGGTCAACAGTCGGCTGTGGAAGGATCGCTTTTTTCTTTTTTTTCCTTTCTTTTTTTGAAGCGAGTGGTTGAAGCAAATGGAGCATAAGAGCCCCCTGGTGGCTGAAGAAAAAATCCATATATAAGCCGCACTGGTCTAAAAGCCGCATGGTTCAAAGTTCAGGAAAAACGTTGCGGCTTATAGTCCGAAAAATACGGTAGTAGCTCCCCACAAAGACACAATTTGACCTTTTTAGCCATTTTCTCCCAACGCTTTGAAGCTGGGTCCCACCAGAGAGGTAGTCACAGAGCTAAGTTACCAAGTATGTGTGAGGTGAGGGGGCGGAGCCTGTAGCGGGGTCTTAAAGATTGCAAATGGTTAATATTTAGCTGTGTTGACTTGACTGTTGTTGCTGACGCATCATGCCGTGTGGTCCACTCCTTACTGATCAGAGTGAAAATGGTTTTATTTCTTCTCAAAGACACAAACAGATAATCTGCWTCAGATAGGTTTTTTATTTATTTTATTTATTTAGACGTGAACACTCTTTTGTTCTTCACACGACCTCAGAGACTCGTTTAATTCTGAGATGCTGGACAGAAAATAAGTTTGAACAAAATCCAAAAGTTTGAAGCGTTCCTGATCAAGTTCATCTGAAAAAAGCAACAAAAAGCAACGAGTCAGATTAAAACACCCCYTCCTGAAACAAATACAGAGTAATAATTTCACACTTGCACAAACAGCTGTTGTAACAAAGCCACCATCTTACGTCAGAAAACCAGTTTGAAGCAGATAGTTGGTGTTTTATCAGTGGAGGAATGTGGTGAACACGTTACTAAATGTAATTTTCCACAAGACGCCTGAGCAGTTGGGAAGTAAAAGTTACAAAAAAGAGAAGTTGGTTAAAGAAWAAAATGTTTCTTGGTTCTGCAGCTGGCTGTTCGCTACGACGTCCCGCTGCACGTGGACGCCTGTCTGGGCGGTTTCCTCATCGTCTTCATGGCCAAAGCTGGTTTCCCGCTCGCTCCGTTCGACTTCAGGGTGCCAGGAGTGACGAGCATCTCTGCAGACACCCACAAGGTGAGGAGGGACCTATGGGATAAATCTTGTGCCAGCAGGAACTGAATCTGAATTCCTCAGACTGAATCTGAATGTTCATAATTTGAAATTGAATGAATTGGTTTGAAAATAAATTTCACTAAATTGAAACTGAATTTAAAGTTTTGTATCTGAGTTAATTTGCTTTGAAACTGTATTTTGGTTTATTAAAATTCAGTTTGACTACTTTCACTTTCAGTTCCATAATTCAGATTTTTGTGTCACATCCTGGTCCTTGAGAAAGCCAGGCAGAGTAATCAAACACAGATCCACAGATTTATGTTTCACTTTGGTGAAGTTTCCCTTCTGATGTGATGTAAATGTAACATTTTCTACATATTCTTTCTCAAGGACTAGGATGTGACACAAAAATCTGAATTATGGAACTGAAAGTGAAACTAGTCAAAC